TTGTATATAAAAACTAAAGAATGTAATATATATAATATATATAATATATATAAAAAATATTGTAGATATTATAGAAATGATAAATATGATAAAAATGCTAGATATAATAAAAAGACAAGATATAATAGAAATACTAGATTTCTGATATAGTAATAAAAACCAATCAGAATAAAGTTATATATTTAATAAAATTGCTAATTTTACAAATCTCTTTCACTCTTAAAATCCAGTAATCAGAATTATATAATCTTGTGCTCTTTAGAACTATTTTAATAAACTTAATTTAATGATAATTGTTTTATTTAATTTGGTTTAATGTATCAAAAATATAACTAAAAATGTGTAAAACTCTTAATGTTTTAATATGTTAGTTTTAATAAATAAATTTATTATATATAAACTAATAACATAAGGACATAAAAGTTCTATCTTGGTTTTTAATATAATTTATAATTTAATTAAAATCTAATATTTCAAAGTTATTTGTTTTATCAATTCTTATCTAATAAATAAAATTTGTACTAAGTATTAGTAATATAAATAGAGCTATAAATATTTTAGTTATTAGATAAAGTTTTTTATATTTTAATAAAGCAAATAATATAAAATAAATAAAAAAATGAGGAGATGGTGATCATAGTGTAGTACCATAAGGGTGGCTAAGTGATGCTAGACTTAGGCATTGGGAAATTCTATGTAACTGTATATGTATATAATTTCAAAAATCTTAATAAAGTACTAGCGTAACTGCTTAAGGTTAAAAAAAAAAATTTATTGGTGTCTAATATTGAACCTTCCAAAAAAATTATTAGCACTTCAATTTATAATACGTAAAAATGAATATATCCCATTTTTCTACTATTGCTACCCATTTTAAATTTCAGTATAGTTGAGATAACCCACTTAAATTTAACATTCCTTAATAAAAATAATTTAGCATTATTTGCATTTTTTAATATGTATTTTATTGTTTGATCAGAATAATAATATTAATTTTAGATAAGTTTAATTTTAAAATTCAAAAATAATTAATTTGTAAGTGAAGAAGATCTTGAGTTTAAAATTTAAAGTAAATTTTTATATGTTTTTGTTATAAGCTTTATTATAATTTATCACCCGGTGTGACATCTTCCCTTACTGCTAACCTTATTCTAAACGATAACCTTAACTTTAATGAACTATAAAGAATTTTCTGACCTGGTACGCATTTAAGATGTGCTAATTTAGATCTGTATATGTAATTATTTTCACTTTCTGAGCCTTTATTGGTAAATTTCCAAATTTTCTTTTGAGTTTAGTGGTCAGAATAGTAATTAATACAATGAACAGATTCTTATATATGTTGTACATTGGTATGGAATTCCAAATGTAGTCCAAGTTGATCCGAAATTTAAAAGCAACTTAATTTTAATTTGATACTATAATAATCAATAAATTCAATAGCATCTTAAGTTGAAATGTAATCGATTAACGTAACGATTAGGGATGGGTTCAGTCAGCTACGGTCGTTACGGTCAGCTAGTATCAGTTATTGACTAATAGCCGGCTGAGATCCCATAAACATGATATTTAATTGGCCTGATATCACATGTCGGTTTAAGCCGCTTTAGTCGACTACGGCCAGCTAGCCGAATATAACCTAACTGAACCTACCCCTGAGCCATCTTACCTCCCAGTTACACCTATCATGTTTGTTATCATCATTCGTCCTACCTGATTTTATTAAATATCGAGAGATCGACTTTTGAGCCAATAAATATGTGACACGATATTTATCAATACTGATAGACTAGCAAATAAAGAATTGATCTACAGGTTGATGAGTCGACAGTGAAATTTTAGTATTGTTACTGGCAGATCGGTAAGATTACACACACAAAAACAATTAAGAAATACGACGAATTGTCGCTAGCGAACGGGGCATGCCGCGTAACGTTCCTCAACGTCTTAGAGGCGGAACGATTTGGCACTGGTCTAAGACGACGATTAGGGAGCGTTATTAAGAGAGTTAGGATGGGGTAAGTGAAGGGGTCCTGAAAGAGTGTTCTACTTTGTGGATTTTATTTTTTCTGAGTAGGAATTTTTAGGGGTCTTTATTTATTAATTTTATTACTTTTTGTAAGGCGGGGAAGGCACATACATTACAAGAGGGAATTCTACGGTCTATTTATAACGAATTTTAAAGAGATTTTTCGAACATTCCCTTACCATTTTCCCGTAGAACCCGAGCCGTTTCATTCCCTTTTGATTTAACTCTTTATCCCTTACTTTTCACAGCCTCTACTTCTTGCTCATTCAATGCTTCCTTTTTACCTTCCAACCAACGTTCTTACTCCCACAGCCATTCCATTAATTGGAGACGCACCCACACGGCCACAACCTTTACCCCACAAGGCAATATTAACCCATTGACTCATTTTAGCCTTTACTTTCGTCAAACGGGTTAATGCAGATTACTTTACCATTTTGGGCCTGACAACAGTAATTGTTCTGGGGTCTTAGCGGCTACGGTCACGATCTCATGCAGCATCGATTCGGGAATTCACTGTTCATCCATTTTAGGCAGTTCTTCGAGATCGGGGGGTACAAGTTTGCCATTAACAGTATAGAAAAGATACCCGATCATTCAGCTAGTACATGTTATGATTATAATCCAACACCATTTTTTATTATAATAAAATGATGTTGGATTATGCATTAGCGGTATTGTAAAATAATTTTTTATGTTGCACACCAGGTGAAGGATCAATCGTGTAACATCAACATTTCCTCCTGTTTAATGAAACAATAGCCTGTAATGAGCTAGAAAGCAACAAAAAAAACTTGGGTTCCTTTTTGTGGGTAGCTTGTCTTCTAATCGTAATGAAGAAATTTTGTACGTATTAAATTTATATCAAAAGTTTTATAATTAAAAAATTTATTCATGCAAAACTGACCTTTTTAGCTCCATCCTTAACTGTTAAAAATTTCCTAAAAAAGTAAATAATTTACTGAACCCAACGTTCGAAAATTACAAAAATAATTGCATGCAGTATTCGTAAAACATATGAGCATCAATAAGTTTGAGTACCATAGTACCGCCAAATTTGTGCCCACCCTAAATATACAGTACGTACGCTAGTAAATGATAAATAAAATTTAGCTGATCATATGATTTGACCAATAAAAAATTTATTTGATCATATGATTTGACCAATAGAACGTTGGAGAAACCTAAGTGCAGCACAGAATTTTAACTACGGAATGAGTTACACAGGTAATTAACTTATTTTACTGTGCGTTGTTAAATATTAGACCTTAAATGGAATCAGATAGAGAAGGGCAATTACTAAGAATATTTTCAAACACAGATATTATTAAAAATGAGGAGGAGTTGAAGCGCTATTTAGAATCTTTCAACGATGTGAATTCTAATATAAAGAACGATATTGGATGGTGTTATCAATATGGAAAAGGTATTACCAAAGATGAAGGGAAAGCATATGAATGGTATTTGAAAGCCGCCATAGAAGGCAGTTTTAGTGGGCAAAATAATCTTGGATGGTGTTTTGAAAAAGGCATAGGAATTACCAAAGACGAAAAGAAAGCATTTGAGTGGTACTTGAAATCAGGTGAAGGTGGCAATTCCAGTGGACAAAATAACCTTGGACGCTGCTTTGAAAATGGAATAGGTACTAAACAAGATGAAAAGAAGGCATTTGAATGGTATTTAAAGTCTGCAAAACATGGCAATCCAAGTGGGCAATATAATCTTGGCATATGTTATAGGAATGGTAATGGAACATACCCGAACGAAAAAAAAGCTATTAAATGGCTTCGAAAAGCGAGAAATGATGAAAGTTATCATAGAAATGAAATTGACCCTAATGTGGATGATCCTCTAAAAGAGGTGATGCTTAAAAATTCTATGCCATGGATTCCATTTGATGAACTAGAAATTCTCCAAACTGTTGGTAGAAATGTGAACACAGAAACTTATTATGCAGAATGGACGTATTTACATAAATATGGGGTAAGAACAAGGAGAGTTAGGTTAAAGTTACTTACTGGATCGCATTTTATTGATGGTCGCGAGATACTTTTAAATGAGGTAAAGTTTTTGCAGCGTCGATATTTTATGCATATTAATCCTTATTTAATATTATTCATATATTTGAAGTTAAATGCATACTGTATTATTGGACACAAGAAACCAACATTTCTTCAATGTTATGGAGTATCAAGAGATAAAATTACGGGTTATTATATTTTAGTTATACAAGACGCACGAGAAGGATCTTTAAATTACAATCTTGGTTCAGTTGCACAGATAGGATGGGAAAAAAAATTAAGTTTATTATCTTATATAGCTCGTGATCTTCAACTAATTCATTCCTGTGACATTATTAATTGCGGTTTACATACCAAACGTGTATTACAAGATAATCTAACAAGTGCATACATATCAATATCATCATTTTCTCTAACGGTCGATAAAGCATTAAAATCAAGGCATAAGTTAGTTGGAAGAGTGTCATACATAGCACCTGAAGTTCTAAGTGGAGGTCTATTTACTAAAGCATCTGATGTTTATTCATTTGGAATAATTATGTGGGAAATTTCTTCAGGAAAATCTATAGATGATTTCTATCAGGATAATTATGACGATTTTTATTGGCATTTGAACGTTTGCAATGGATTACGACCAAAAATAAGTGAAAAAACGATGCAATCTTATTCGGACCTCATGAAAAAATGCTGGGACAATGATCCGAACAAACGACCATCAGCTTTAAAAATTTGTAAGATTCTCACTAAGTGGATAAATGATATGGATAAATTTTATGAACCAGAACCTGAATCAGAACCTGAATCAGAACCTAAATCTGAACCTGAACAAATTGAATCTAAATCTGAATTTGAAGTTGAACTAAGTGACGATGAACTTGATATTATAACTAATGAACTTTTTGGTAATTAAATCTGTTTTTAATTTTGATTTCAAAAATATTATTTAGTCAATGAATGATCGCCAAAATCTTGTGTATTTAGAAAACGAAATCAGAAAAAAGTTAATAAAATTCATACCATGGACCGAACTTAATAACATTTCAATACTTGATGAAGGTAACTTTGGTAAGTTAAAATGCATCAAGTATATGGAACATTCAAATATTTAGTAGTAAATAATTTTCTCTCGTTTTTGTTCATATTTGTTTAGGATCAGTAAGCAAAGCTTATTGGGCAAAGACACATAATAATGTCGTTTGTAAAGAATTAATAAATTTGAAGGATATAAATGGCAAACATTATACTGCATTTATTCATGAATTAACAATGCATACTAGATCAGATCTATGTGAAAACATTGTTCGGTTTTTGGGAGTCAGTAAAGGTATTTATGTTTTACCAAATACTTAAATGTAAATTTAAACTGACTAGCTATATAATATATAGATACTGTCAATAGCCGATATTTCCTTATAATGGAATATGCAAATGATGGAAATTTACAAAGGTTTCTTAAAAAAAATAATCATATTTTGAATTGGCAACAAAGGTTGGAGCTGGCTTGTCAGATTACGAAGGGATTATGTTACTTGCATAGTGAAGAAATTATTCATAGAGATTTGGTAAAGAATATTAAATATCTATCTACAAATAGTGCACTGAATGAGTCAGGTTCTGAACAGGTTACTGTAAAATTTTAAGGTTAAAGCTTCAACTAGCTCGAAAAAGTCCAAATTTCAATCTTTATACTTTTTTTTTTTTATTTCTGCTTCAGAATAATAAGTGTAATTTTTTAAAAAAATGTGGGCGTATTCATTTTAGCAACAAATGATATATTCATTCAGGTTTGTAAAGTTCAGGCTGACCCGATCAGTGCATATTGATATTTTAAATTTAAATTAATCTCACAAAAAATTTTGATTAGCATGATAAAAATATTGTTATTCATTGCGGAAAGGCAAAAATAACAGATTTTGGAAATGCAACAAGTATTAATACACAGACAAATATACACAATGGTATTTTTGGTGTGATTTCATTTTTAGCACCTGAATTATTTGAACGAACCAAATCAGATAATCCACCATATTGCAAGAAAACAGATATCTATAGTCTTGGCATGATATTTTGGGAATTATCTAGTGGTCATCCACCATTTGAAAATCAACAATATTATACAATTCTGTACCAAATTAGTAAAGGTGAAAGAGAAAATATAATTTCCGGAACTCCAGAAGAATATAAGAACCTTTATATTAAATGTTGGGATGCAGATCCAGATAAACGTCCAGAAATCGAATATGTACATGAATTATTAGAAGAAATGGTTAAAAATATTGATTCTATATCTATTAATCCTGAAGGTATTATAATATATTTTTTTTAGTTCATATTTATGTTAACATGATAGTTAAATTACTAACAATCAAATTCTTAACTATAACCCAGTAATAGATCAAACAAGCTTGGATGAATTCAATAAAACCTATGGTAAATTAAATTATTTTTAATATTCTCTTATTAACATTTATATATTTAATTCTTATATTATTTTACAATTATCAGTTTCAAAACCTCCTTATTTAGAAGGAAGTATAAAATCTTTACAATAAGAATTAGACAATACATAAACTTTATTTACAGCTTAGTCTTATTATGCCTATTTTTATATGATAAATTTATAATAATTTGAGTGGTTTGATGTAAATGTTACTAAGCACACTAAAGCGCACCAATATGATAGACTCTACATATATTATTGATAAATTCTGTATCAAACTATATTATTGTCAGATTATATTTTGGGTTAAAGGAGTTTTTTTTGAGTAAAAGTTTGTAATAAAATTAAAAATTTAACGTTTAATATATACATAATTAATCAATTACTACAATCGAAATGATTAAGTAAGCATCAAACATTACTGTATTAGAATCTATTGAAGTTCAAAAGAAATGTCATCACTGATCAACCAACAATATCAAGATATCTGATCAATAAAAATCTAGAAATGTTAACACAGTCATATTATTGCTCTGTCCATAATGCCTTCAGACAATTAAAAAATGGTAATAATACAAGTGATTTTTAGATTAGATCGAGGAATTTTTTATTATTATAAAACTTCAGAATTTTTACTATATTTATGTGATCCCAAAGATTTGAAGGAATAACTTTTACTATATAAGAAAATAGTTACGCCTCCAAATACTAAAATTATAGTAATAGCTCCAAATACTCAAAATTATAGTAATGCTTTTCTGTTACAAGTGTTATTCTTTAGATCGTTCTTGCCTCAGGTGGTATTCGAAGCGCCTCAGAAATTAATCGTTTACTCAAGGCTCCTCAGTCAACTTCATAATCTTATTTATTTACATAAATTCTTTACGTATAAATTTAGCCAATAAGCATAAATATTTAATTAGCATGCAAGAATAAATATGAAAAATATCGCTTTTTTCAGATGGATATATGAATGAGTAATTTCAACTTAAAATTACTGCATATGAGCAAACAACTAGACAGGATTCATTGACGACAAAAGAAGTTCGGCACTATTTGCTACGATTTGATTAGATAGCGATCATGTAAGAACAATGAACTACTAGTATTTACTATCTTGTCTTATTCTAACTAATTCATTATATGATTTGTAGAGTTGAAAACTTAACCTTAGATTAACTTATAGTATAGATTAACTCAAAATATGAAAGCATACGTATAAACTTGATGTCGATCATACAATAGGGATTTTCAATGGATCGTGGCCACAATATTTATATTAATTTGCAAGGTTAACATATGAATTTAGATCCACTGTTATTATTATTGGCTGATCGTGCATATAGATATCGGATGTATCTTCATCGGTAAACATGAGATGAATGATTAAAGTTGATTATATAAATAAATAGTATTTATAAAATCATTGGTCATTTATTATGGTATATTTTAACCCTCTTGTTCTCAACTATCACCACAAAATGTCAATTTTTATAACACTAGGTCTTAAATAAAAAAATAATAATTTATTCAAAACTTTTATTGCAAGTATTTTAAATTTTGACTAAAAATTGTCAAATTGTCAGAGAAAGATCTTTTTATGTTACAGGGACATGATTTACTGTGATATTAAAGAAGTGTACATTATTGGATTGACGACAAAAAATAACAGGAATTTTTTTTTGTCGGAGTTAATGTCACGCCATGTGCTGTGTAGCAGCACATGAGTGAAATTAATTACGTTGAAAAAATTTTTTTCCTGTTATTTGTCGTACGTATGTTCAATAAAGATGTTATCCGATAGTTAATATGACCATTTGAAGTTTTTTTCTGTGATATTTTGCAAAACTGATTACAAATTTCATGCAAAAAATATTATGGCAAAAAAATTTACATCATATGAAATGTCGGATAATAAATATTTATAAGCTTTATATATGTAAATTTGTTAAAAACACCATAAATCTCATCCTATTACACTGTACTAAATTTAGACTAGGGATGGGTTCAGTTACGAACAGCTACGATTATTCATAGCCAATTTGTCAGATACTGAGTTGACTTTTTATTTTTGAGTTTTAATTAAAGTTGTTCAGAATTAAATTATGTTCATTCCATCTTAAAAGTGGAAAGAACGATACTTTCTCTGGAACTCGGAATTTTAAAATTTGTCAACATCATAGCCACCTATTAGCTGACGGTTAGTAGCCGGCTATTTATGTTATGAATTTTAAAATTCCGAGTTCCAGAGAAGGTATCGTTCTTTCCACTTATAAGATGGGTGAACAGAATTCAATTCTGAACAATGTCAATTAAAAACTCAAAAATAAAAAATCATCTCAGTATCTGGCAAATTGGCTATGAATGATCGTAGCCGTTCGTAGCCGAACCCATCCTTAATTTAGACGACGTCTGGCTCATACTCCTGCAATAACAATGGTATTAGTCTATAACTATCTCTTGTAGAAAATTCTAACCATTAAAATAAAATTAAAAAACAACAATAAATAAACGAACAAAATCAGATTGCAATAAAACATTTGAACAGCAAGAATGGGAAACTAGCAAAATATTGACAAAAATTCAATTCAAAATTACAAAAAAGAAATAATAACCATTATACACTAAACATAATATTATTGTACATGTGCTTGGAAAGATTGTTTTGCTCAAAACAGACAATTATATAATACTAATTTTATCTATACCAAATAGTGTGCAAATATTATCAAATCGGTCAATTAGGCAAATATACGGGAAGGAATTATTCATGGATACAATTTCCTTTGTGTTTTTATTAGTTAAATACATTGCCTTACTGATTTTCTTTCAGCAGTACTTTTTCTAATATATTACAAGAATTGGGAGAAACTATTTACATATAACAAAGATTAGTTTAAAGATACAATATTATTGCTTTATTAAATTAAGCTTATATTAAGCTTATATTTTGTTTGCATAAGTATAAAGATAAGTTTATGAAACTAAGTTATATACTTATTATTCATATATTAGTAATTAAGTTTTTGTTTTGAAGATAATGTTAGTTATAGAGTTTATTGGTTTTCTTTTTAAGAAATTAATACGATGCATAAGCTCTATGAAACGCTCCATGTTATTACTAGTATTAGCATTTAATAAAATCGTACGTTAAATTAGAACATGTCTATCAAATGATTAATATAGTTGACCAAAGACGGTGACTATGACGTCTCATATAATGACTGAGAAATCTTGGAAAGTCCCAACTAAGGATGGCAAAAAAAAAATTGACCCTTTAAAATATGTAATGTTTATGGGTTGAATATGTAGAGTCTAAATTTAAAAGTATTCGATCATAATCATTGCATGTTTTAAAATAGTGAAAACCCCATTTTTTTTACCATCCCTAATCGACAATCTAGGCAAAGTGACATTATTTTCAACGTAAAACTTTAAGAATTTTTTTAAACCTTTTTCCCTTCGATTTTTTTTTTTTTTTACATGAAGGCATGAGCTTTTTCGGTTTCCTTTTTTTCTTATTAAACAACGTTTATGTAAAAATAGTTTAAAGCACATTGCAAAAGCTAAGCTTTTTATGACTTTGAATGGTGCATTAATAATTAAAACTTAATACAAATGCAAATTGTACGACTGATATTGATTTATAAAATTTATGTAAATCAAAATCTATAATTACTTGATGGTATTATATAAGTTAATATGATTTTTCTAATGTTCACCACATTTCCATACCGAATATAAAATTCAAATTTTGCAGTTCACTACGTCCAAGGCTTACTATAAAAAAAGTTCGCTATAAGGAAGCTTGACTGCAACAAAATAATTTAGAGATACTATAAAGATTGTAAAGTTTTTACAAGCTAATTAATGACTGTCTAATCATTCGTTAATTTATTGTGTTTTTTAAGCTATATTCTATATATAAAGAGGATCAGGTTGATTTTATTTTTTGCAAATATCAAGATGTTTTAATCACATGATGATTTGCAGTTACGTAGTGGATTACGATTTGGTGTAACTAGTGATGTGCCACGCGAAAATTTTTGCCGATCCTTTAGACACCACTGTCGTACTGTCGCGAAAAAAATTCGGGTATCATATAAATGGCACACCATGATCAGGAAAATTCAAACGTTCGCTTTGAACAAAATCGCCAATTACTCGAAAATACGTATAAGAAATAAATAACCTTTAAAAGTTTTTCTTGCACGATTTTACTATATAAGTCTCTCGTTACCATTAAGGTTAATTTATTAGTTAAAATTTACTGCACAATTTAGAAAGGAAAACTATGGGCGACTGCTCACACTGTGCGCATTATTTACAAAATACAGTATTAAATTTTCCCGAGCAGTATCCGGTCATATGTTCAAGAGAAAAATACGCAAAATTTTATTTCTGCGTGCTGCGCATGTCCGCAAAGATTATAGGCTTTAACTCTAAAGTAAATAACCTTACGGAATTTTATCGACCATCATGTGACTGCAGCATTTTTAAGGCGTTACTAAGAAAGGTTTCGTCTGTTACGATGGATTTTCTGGCATTTTAGGTGTCTGCTTAACAAGTTATGCACTTTATCTAATGACCAGCATCTTAAGCATGGTATAATGGACAACGAGTTATATTTTGGCATTAGTAATAATATCGGAATATAAACGAATCAATTATTAAGATACACTAGTTTGTTAAGCCCATCATTAAATGACGGAATATATTACAACTTATCTATTATTCAATAGAGAGTTTGTAGAATCTAATTTGCACTAACACTAAAGATGCATCATTTGTTGCACAAAATGTAATGGCTATTCAACATGCATAACATTAGAAAATTTAATATTTAGAAGGTATAATATAAAATTATCAGCAAAGTCAGAATAATGTGAATTGTCGAGGTAAACGAATAAGACGGTAAATTGTTAGTACAATAAATTTTAGAGAATGTGAGAATCTGGCAAAAGTCTGAAGCAAATAAAAGAACTAAAGAACCGACTTTAATTATGCATTGTTACATTTACTGCGAATCATCGCAGGAACTTTTAATTATTGAATTTGATTTCTGACAAACATTGCATGAATGTTGTTCAAACAGAAAGTCCTCGCTACGCTTCAGATAATAAATATATTTAATTTAAAAATAGTTCATTTTAGAATTTTTAGATTATATTCAGTTTTCACCATTTTGACAATTCTTTATCATGACAATTTATTAATTTAACGGTTAATTTGATAATTTGTTTATTGTAGTTGATAGTTACACAAGAATTTTATGATTTGAAGGATTCGATGGCATATACGTACATTTATGGAATCTCAAAACTTTCCCGAAATAATACATAACAAATTATGTCTGATTAGTAATGAATTTTCAAGATTAAAGGCGTTCTGGATTTGTAATTTAGTTTATTATAACTTTAAATAATTAAACTTAAAATTTAAATTATTTGCTCAACCTTTTTTCTCATACAAAGAACATACAGTAAGTTGTCGATAGGAATCGTGTGCTGAATGCATTAAACAATAAAGGTTAGCAATAAAGTCTTTGTCATGAATAGGCTCCGGAATTTTAATACAATTTGGAATACTGATTTTCGATTATGCAAACGTAATTCGTTATATTGTCTTGCATACCGATACGTAGAATGATAAATAGAATGATTGAAAATAGATGCACAGTTACACAAACCTTACCTTTGTTCTGATCAATAGAGAAAAATTACCTTTTTTAGCAAGTATTACAGCCCTCTTTCCTATTATTCACGTTACTATCATAATACGTGTAACTATATCTACAATGTTAACCAACATAAGATACATTCTATTTTTTCACGAAATCACGGGAATGGTTTGTACTTATAACCTTGATAACAAATTCGTCGAACACCAACACTGTTACTAAATCTGTCGAATACATGGTTTAATAAATGGCCAATTATTAAAATGTTTGTTTTAATGAAAATAAAATTCCGCATATTTGTTTTTATTCATTCTTTATTACAATCTTAACGAATATTAGCATGGAAAAATGCACTAACTTATTAAGGTTACGATTGTATTTATCCTATGGATGACTCTTTCATAGCATTGGCATGACTGAACATAAACAATAATCATGTATACAATATTACCAGTTTTCGTAGCTAACCTCGCTATTATTATATAAAGGCATAGTATTCTTTCTTAATATTTTCGTTCACTCATTAATTAAAACTCATTAATCAAAAATGAAAGTTCTTCGCCCACTTGATACTCTTGAAGGAATTTTCTTAAAACTACAATTATCTAAATTTTATGGATGTAATATTCATTTTACCGTAAGATATTATTGGGATGAATTGGATCATTTACAGCAACCATACTCCTACATTAATATCTCTCAAATTCTTTTCCCGGCTCTTGAAAAAGTCATTTCTAATACCCCTCAACTATGTATTTCTATTAAAGATGCAAAGACTCCAAATCCTCAATTTGTCCTTTTACCAGAAATAGATTTTTCAAATGTTGTTAAATTTATTACAATAAATTCTGATGAAGAATTTATTGATATATCTGAAAAAGAACTTTGTACTGAATTCGATTTAGATGATGAATCAAATCCTTTTTGGCGTATTGTTGTCGGAACAAATCATTCCACTTCATTAGAAAATTCTGAAATGAACCCAAATTTCAATTTATGTATAATGTTTACATGTAATCATGTTATTGGCGATGGATTAAGTGCAATGGCATTTCAAGCTACCTTAATGGAAGCAATTGACCAAGTTTTCTTACAGAGAGATACATGCGGATCTATCTCTAAATCAAAATTTCTTATTGATCAATCAACTGTTATTAAAAATCTAATAAGTTTTAAAAGTTATGAAAGTATTTATCAACCTGAAAGTAATCCTGTAAAAATTACTTCTCCTATCATAACTGGTTCCGCTGCACCAAATTTTTGGATGGGTGACGTACGTCCATGTGATCTTCCTCAAGATATTACTAAAGTTCATTACTTTTCTTTAACTGAGGATGAATTCATTCCTATACTTACTTTAGCAAAAATTCACAAAACTACAATTTTTGCTGTTTTAAATATGTTGGCATTTTTTTCTCTTCGACAAGTTTTTGGTCATGAACTTGACTCTAAAATTTTAAAAGTTCGAGTACCATATTCATTAAGACGAACTGTAACTCCACAAATTCCATGGAAAGAATTTGGAAATTTTGTTACTGTGATGTTATATGATTTTGATATGACTAAAATTTCTTTAACTCAATTATCTGATACTTATTTTAAAGAAAAATTTTGGAATCTATGTCAAGATTATACTTTAGCTATCCGTTCTGAACCTTCAACTTTCTTTGAACGTCCAATTATACCTGCTAAACCTGTTCAAAATAACGAAAATCAAGTTAAAAATAACATTAGTAATGAAAATAAAGTTGATAGCCTTAAAGATACTTCTATTGAAAATGCCTCCGGAAAAAATAATATTGATGAAAATGGTGCAAATGGAAATTGTGCAAATAATGAAAATGGTGCAGATGAAAATGTTGTAGATGAGAATAATGTAGATGAAAATAGTGCGAATGAGAATGGTGTAAATGAAAATGGTGCGAATGAGAATGGTGTAAATGAAAATGGTGCGAATGAGAATGGTGTAAATGAAAATGCTATTAATGAAAATGGTATTAATGAAAATGGTGTGAATGAAAATAGTGCGAATGAGAATGGCGTAGATAAAAATGGTGTGAATATAAATGGTGCAGATGACAATAACGTAGATAAAAATGGCGCAAATGACAATAACGTATATAAAAATGGTGCAGATGACAATAACGTAGATAAAAATGGCGCAGATGACAATAACGTATATAAAAATGGTGCAGATGACAATAACGTAGATAAAAATGATGAAATTAAAAATGTAGAAAATCAAAACAAGACAAATGAAAATACTACCAAACAAGTATCTGCCCCATTGCCCGAGAAAAGAGTCTGTTCGTTAAATATGTCTAATTTAGGAAGATTCCCCGTTAACTCATCCAATAGAAAACGATCAGATTTAAAAGTTGTCAGTTTAAATTATTCTGGTTCGGCACCTAGATTTGACGCTGTATTCAGAATAAATTCCATTTCTTATGATAATGTATTACACATTTGCATTTTGCATCAAGATGGTTCTATCCGTGATGAACAAATGGATAAATTTATTAGCGAGTTCTTAAAAATATCAAGAATGATAGTTTAAGAAATTTCGATATAGATTTTTTTTTTTAATTTACATTATTTATTATTTATTATTAATTTTATTTTATTTACAGCATTATTTCAATTTTTGAATTTAGTTTTTTCGTGTTAATACAATTTGTTATATTTGTTATCATTTATATTTGCATATATTATTGATAAATACCATTCACAAATAAATTTTACTCCTAGTAATAACGACTAAAATATTATGTATTCTGATGACTTATTTTACCGTTTATAATAATTTTGTTAAGGATTACTCAATGAAATCATTTTATTCTTGTAATTTTATGCATATATTTATGAAACCTCAGAAGGCGATGAGTCTGTTTAATCTATAATATGGTTCCGATCAAAGAAATGTTTATATTTGTTGAGTCATGAAAATGTTCCGGTGTAACTCATAATACTTTGAGACTATTAGCTGAAATTAAACATCAATCATTATCACACTTGCATTCTTTACAATAAATCTCTACAGTCATTCGTTAAGAGTTCAGAAAGCGTTAATTTTATGATATAGATAATAAATATAAGGATGGCCTATTTCCACCATGGATTTTTGCTATTTCCACCATGGTATATTTAAAATATTCTATTTTTAATTAGCCAATTAAATTTTAAGAAATATATTTTTTAAAAATTAAAGAAGTTTTTATTAAGTAAAGGTTTCTTCTGATTCTAATAATAATTAAATCATCAAAATCAGCCTGGTAGATCCCAAGATATTGGAGATCAAAGAAAAGAGCAAAAAGATCTACAAATTGCCAGTTACACAAAGTACTGTTGTTAATAGATTTTGTGTAACTGACAATTTGTAGATCTTTTTGCTCTCTTCTTTGATCCCCAATATCTTGGGATCTATCAGGTTGATTTTAATAATTTAATTATTATTAGAATTAAAAAAACAAGTTTTACAACTTTAATTAGAAGTTCAAGAAACCTTTACTTATTAGATTTTAGGATTAGGGTTAATAAAAGAAAATTTTATATTAAAGTTTAAAGGGTTTATATATATTATTGTTATAAAAACTAAAAATAGAAAATCTTATGTAATCATAATAGAAATAGTAAAATATTATGGTAGAAATAGTAGTTCTCTAAATATATATAGGTTAGAATTTAATATATATAGATTAGGATTTAATTATTTAAACATATAATTTTTATTTTTTGAAATTTTGTTAATAAAAATAATATAAATTAAAGTATAAATTATAGTAACAAAAACTCTTTCTGCAAATCCATTGCACAAAAATTAACTAAAAATTCGTTTGTCTAAAAACTCTTATAACTATTTATTTTACTAAGACAACCTGTTCTGGGCTCTTAAGTAAACATGTTTAGCTCACCATTTTACATATATTTTACAAATATTAAGCTTTAATAATTTAAACTCATAGAGAAACCTGTACTGATGGCCTTTGGTCTCCAGGTTATAACTTTTAATCATCTCGCAGTTTCTATTGTCTTAACCTGTTCTATACCCTTAATTAAAGTTGCAGTAAACAGTCATCTGGTCAAAACAAGCTCTAAACGAAGATTTTTGACCCAATATTGATCAAACTACAACTAAATTTAATATTTACTATCTTCCAAAACTCTTTTTCTATTTTTTGTTCTTACCTCATTCTCTTTTTCCCTTACATATTTTTTGTATAATTATATAATCATTTCCAAATCCATATCTTATTAATTTATACCAATATCTGTAACCAACCTATTTATAGATATTTATTCAACACAATTAATTATTACTATATTTGGTTCCTATCTATATTATACAGTAATTTGTATTACAAATTACAGTTGTATTCAATACCCGAGTCATAGTAGTAACTCTAATCATTCTAGTTACACTCTAGTACTATCCCAATGACACTTCTACAATACAACCCTTGCTTTTATTTACCACCCTTACAAAATTAATACTTATAACCATATTTGTTATTTAGCAAAATTCTCAAAGTCTTAATCCTCTTTTTCTTATTCCTACCTAATCTGCAAATACTACAAAATGCTTATATTAATTCATCAAGAGCCTGATACTGCAGACCTTGATTATTTCTACCAAAACTTTTCTGATAGTTTTGGAATCACTCTTTATAAAGAAGAACAAGGTAACAAGGCTCATCCAATTCCTTCTAAAATCCAACCAATCTTCTACTTAATAAAAAATCTTAGATTATATAAGATTATATATTTTTTTCAAGCTCCTTCCTCTACCTCTATGATTACTTGTCTTTGTGACAAATATTACACCAAATTTATCTCACCTACCAATACCAACTACATTCAAGCTACTGACTTTACTACTGCTCACATTAATAGCAACTCCAAAAAACTCAACAAAACAAGTCAAAATCTTATATCTAATATCTCTTTTTCTACCAACAGTATTCCTTCATCTCCTATACCTGACATACATTACCATACCTGTCCAAAATGCTCTGTTCCAATTGGTTGTACCAAGAGAAATGAGCACCATTATTCTATCAAAAAATATATTACTAAAAACAATGAAGTCTATCATCTTATCTGTATAACTGTCTCATCTCAGTATGAAACTAGTTCATCTCAAACCAAGAAAAATTTTACTCAAACTTTTCAAAATATCTTAATGGAATCTAACCAAACCACTAATACTAATACCAATTTTTTTAACCAAACTTCCTCTACTACTTCTGACCTTATTGACTCTTTCTTTGCTACAACTACCCATACTAATCCTATTTCTAACCAATCTCCTATTATTAATATCACTGACAACTCTAACTTAAATCTTAATAACTCTAGTAATACTAATCAACCTGACAGTACCTTAAACAAACCTTCTCTTCAAACCTACTCTAGTGTGGCCAAACCAAAATCCAATTCCATATATGACTGACTTGCAAATTTTCCAATTACTGAAGAAATGCAACCTAACAAAAAACTACAAACCATATTCTCTCTTCAACTCTTTATCTTTCTTAAAAAATTTCTTTATAACTTTTATCCTAGTAAAGAAATTAAACCAGCTACCTCTACTCAACCTGCACTCAAGGCCACATTCTATTACATTATTTGCATCATAGCTAGACAATGACCAGAATTCTTAACTGATCTTATTTACAATAGCAATCCCAATATTGACAAAAGTGCTACTATCCTATTCAATTTACTTGAATCAATGTTTAAAAACTTACTACTTAAATTTACAACTGTCCTTTTCACAAAACTCAATATTTCGAAATCTTTGCTTTACTAGTTACCATTTCCTCATATACCACTCACAATTATCTTCAACTCTGTCTTAATCTTGCATAACTCCATCTTTTCCTATCTAATAATTATTAATCAATTGATTACCAAAAATTTGTCAAAGATTTAAAGCTTAGACCTAAAAGATTCAAAATTGAATCTTTTACTCAAACTACTGATTTTGACCAAAAATACTTTACCATTCAATCAGATACTAGATTTAACATCAAGCTCTTTTTCAATGTTCCAAAAACACTGTTTCTCAAAAGATTCTGCATTTCCTCTTTAAAGAACTCTCTTGATCACTTCAATTCTTAGTTTGAAACCTATTATCCTCTTATAGTTGACAATTTTCTTCTACTATAAACAATGAAAAAGTTAAAATTTCTTTCTAAATTCAATTCCATCAGCACTTTATTCTCCAACTCTCCAAGCACCTATCTGAATCCTATATATTCCAAAAACCTAATTCACTTCATAAGTAACATGAGAAAGCATCTCATGTTGCTAATTTCTACTAACTCACTTGTGACAACAAATCATATCAATATCTCAATGACAAAAAATTTTATGACAACACTAAATTCTTCAATAACATACTCACCAAATCTCGCTTATCATTCCCACCTAAAGAGGATGAAACATGGATTCATCCTACTTTTAATACTACACTATTTCATAAAAACAAAGAACATGCTACATTACTTGACCAACTTATTCCTACCAAAGCTCTGGACAAGTTGGCTGATCAAGCTGAAAACTTTATTTGTAAACAAAACAAAGTTAAAACCAATCCTAAACATTACAATTACTACTTCTACTACTACCTCTCACTATATTACCAAACTGCAGCAGAAAATCACAACATACAGTCTCTTTCTAAGGAGAAGACAATTAACTTATTAACAAAAATATTATTAATACTAAATTCCTTGCCCAAATCATTACTTATTTTGACATTGTCAAAAATAAAAAATCCACCTATATACAAATTGTTAAATATTTCAATGATACCGCCTATCCTGCAGCTAAGAAATTTTTAGCAAAAAAATTCAATCTTGACTTCCAACTAGTTTCCATCCATAACTCTCTTTTTCTATAATCTTCTTTTTAAATTCTTTGTCTTCTACAACTAACATTAAAGCAGTCACCACTTTATTAAAAGAAACAACCTCTGTAGTTAATAAGGAAAATGAAATAAGTAGGCAGGTGGACAAGCTTATTTATATAGAAGGCCATGTTAATAATGGTCAGATCCAATGTACAGGGCAGACTATGGTGCCTTGCACAGCTGTAAGAGCCGAGCATATGGTAATCGACCTTGTAGAAGACAATTTTGAAAGATCATTTACAACATCTTTAATCCCCTATGATTTTCATACATGTTTTAACAAATTCCTTCATTATTACAATTTATTACTTCTTCCTCATAGTCAAACCATTCAGACCTTAATCCAACATATTGATAAATATAATAACAACAAAACTGTATTTAGTATCACATTCTTTGTTAATTCATCTTATAATAAAACCTATATATACCTTCCTAATGACACTCTTTTGTCAGATCATATTATTATTGCTCCATATTTTCTTCTATTATTCTATAAACTTCTCCTCAGATCCAACCCTCTAGCTTTACTCCTATTTTATCTGATCCTTCCTCTAATAACTATTATCTAACTCCTATTGATTATAACTCCACTTTATACTCTCCTAATTCAAGTTCTCATCATCTTAATCTAACTATTGCTA